GGCAGAGGATGGGACATCTTCATTACAGGGGATGTGCATGTGAGCGATTGCAGGAAATGGCTTTCTTTTGCGGAAGTCATCACCTGTGGGATATAGGTGGGGGAGTCAAGGCGCTCCGGGTGCAAGAGGAAGGTGGGGGGGTGTCTCTGGAAATACAGGGAGGGGATGTCGCCGGCCTCTGCCTTTGCACGCGAGCCAGACCACGAATCCGGAGTGGGCAGTGGCCATGTCCTCCATGATGGGAGAATTTCTACTGGTGCCACACAGGACGCAGGATTCGGGCCACACAGGACACAGGATTTGAGCGTGGTTCTGGACAAGTCACTGGCATTCCCAGACAAGCGTGGGCCTCCAGGGTTTGGGCCAACTGTGGTGCAACCCTCGAGGACTCTGAGGAACGCTGCGGGATACTGGGTCAGTGTGCAGTCGTCTTGGATCCCGGGCGGAAGCTGGAGGCGGGAAAGGGAAGGTGACGGGAGGGGCCTGCTGGGTCAGCGCCCAGGACTGGCCAGCGCCTTGCAGTCCCAAAGTGGGGACATCACTCACTCTCCACTGTGCTGTGGTTCACTCCCCAGCTGAACAGAGTCTACAGAAGCAGATGGAAAAAACACTCTGCACCTGTCTGAGCCTTAGGGTCCCTCCTTCGTGCGGCCTGCGGCCTGGACCCTGCTTTCACGGGATGCAAGATCCAGGAGCACTGCAGTTTTTCCAAGTATCACAGAAATAATCCCTGGTAGCATTTCAAACTACAAAACTCTTTTAAAAAAACATGTGGTCTCTCTCCTGTACAGCAGCTCACGTAGGGCTGAGTATTCCCTCTAATAGATGAGGGAGGTGAGAGGGACTAATGGACCCTTCTAAGTCACATGGCCAGGGAGGGGTTTGAGGCAAAACTCCAGCCACTGCTTAGGTTGTAGTAGATCCATCCCTGCACACAGAGACAGTCCTAGGAGGCTCTTACTGGAGGGACCCCCCCCCCCCCCCGCTGAACAGCCAACAGAGAAGGAGGTGAGGGTGCCTTAAAGTCTTGAGAGAGCCAAGCAGAGGTAAGGTGTGAGCCAAGTTTAGGCTGGGTTACACCTAGGGCTTTTCAGCAAGGCTCTGAAAACCATGGCATACCTGAGTGTGGTGGCATGTGCCTGTAACTGCAGCACTCTGGGAAGCTGAGGCAGGAGAATCACAAGTACCAGCTCTGTCTGGGCAACTTAGTGACTTAGCAAGACCTTCTTTCAGAAAGCAGGGTGGCTGGGGAATGTAGCTCAGTGAGAAAGCCCTGCGTTCAGTCTCCAGTATAGGAAAGAAACAAGCACTCTAGCTAGGCATGGTGGTGCACACCTTTAATCCCAAGTACTCAGGGGGTGGAAGTAGGAGGATCAGAAGTTTGAGGTCACTTTAGGCAGTTTAGCAAGACATTGCCTTAATACAAAAAAATTTTAAGGGGCTGGGATGTAGCCCACTGTAGAGTATGTGCCAAGCTTGTGCAAAGCCCCGGGTCAATCCCTGGTATGGCTAAAACAAAACAAAATTTAAAAAAAATACAGTAGGTGTGATAGGGACTATCTAAAAAATCTCAGCCTTAAGGAGGCTAAAGCAGGAGGACTGTGAGTTCAAGGGCCACCTGGGCTATGTAGAAAAACCCTATCTCAAAAAAACAAAAGTAAGGCCAGGCATGGTGGCACACATCTGTAATCCCAGCACTGGGGAGGCTGAGGCAGGAGGGTTGATGTGAGTTTGAGGCCAGCCAGGGCTACAAAGTAAGTTCAAGCCTGGCCTGAACTGCATAGTGAAGCCCTGTCTCAAAAAGGAAAAAAAAAAAAGGTTGGGGGACATAGCTCTGCAGCATAAGCACCTGCCTGGCAAGTGCAAGGTCCTGTGTTCCATTCCCAGTACCAAAAAAAAAAAAAAAAAGGCCATTCTGGACTATATAGTAGGACCCTGTCTCAAAACCAAGCCAGTAACAATTAATCCTAGGAGATGTAATATATTTAGTGTTGAGAGTTTTTTATTGGTTTGTCGTGTGGAAGTCTGCTGGCCTGGAAGTCATCATTGCTGAGTCCCTGCTCTCAGTTCTGGTTTTCACTTCTGGTACAGTCTTGCGGACTGTCTATAACTACATCATGAGGAAATTCAAGGTCCATCATAGCCCATAAATTCTGACTCATCTGCTCGGGATCTCCCACTTTAGGTCAGAGGTCACTCATCTGCTCTCTGGTCTGTCTGCCCCATTAGGGCTTGGGACTGTGGTGAGGGGAAAGAGGAACCTGGGGCTGGTATTTAAGGACAAAGCAGGCTAGCACCAGCCGGGCCCTAAGACTGAGCCTTCTCCCCTCCTTCCTCCGTTCTGACTTCATTCTGTGTTTTCAGCTGCTGGGGTGCACAGAGCATCTTCTGGTCCTCAGAGGTCCACATCCCTGGGCAGCGCGGGACTTAGCAGGATCTCAGGGAACACGCGGGTGGCAACGTCTCAATACAGGCCTCTCTTTCCTCTAGGAAACGTGACCCAGGCTGGGAAGGACAAGTCCCTGTGCGCCACACGATCCAGCCGATTCTAGTTCCGTCAGTGTCCATTTGCCAGACAAGATGAGCAGGAGACCCCAGCATCAGTGCAAGACTCAGAAAGTCTGAGCCATCGGGTAAAGATTCCGGCTTTCTTTAAATTTTTATTTTAAAGAAAAAGAAACAAAACCCAAAATTTCAAAACAAAAAAACAAAAACCAAAATTCCAAAACAATGATGTTGAACATTTTTTCATATACTTATGTGTTGTTTGTATTTCTTCGTCTGAAAATTGTGTATTCATCTCAGATATGGGTCCAGTTTTAATCTTCGGTATGTGCAGAACCAGTTTTTCCAGCACCATTTATTAAAGAGGCTACTTTCTTCCAGTGTATGTGTTTGATAGGAGGGTAACAATGGTTAATACGTTGTGTACTGTTATCAATATTCGCACAGACCTATCTTTTCAATAAACTGAGAGAAATTAGTAGTGTAATTACCCCCCCTCTGTCTCTCTCTCTCTATACATATATATTTCCTTTTGCTTTTCCCTTCTTTTTTTCCCATTGCCCTATCCCAGTTTCTCTTTCCTTTGGAAGTTTCTTCCCATTTTACAATATCTATTGCACATTTTGGATCACATTTACTCTTTCAGCTTCTCACTCTAAGGAGACAATACGATGTTTACACATGTGCGTCTGGTTTATTTCACTTATGACTATGGACACAAGTTGCATCCATTTACCTATAAAAGTCTCCAGTTTATCCTTCTTTATGGCTGAGTAACACTCCATTATATAAAAAGACCACATCTTTTTTATCCATTCCTCAGTTGATGGGCATTTGGGTTGTTTCTAAGATCTAGCTATTACAATTGTGCTGCTATAAACGTGGGTGCACATATATTGCTGTGGTATGATGTTCTTAATTCTTCTGGGAAGATTCCCAGCTGGGGAATAGCTGGGTCAAATGGGACCTCCAATCCTAGTTTTTTGAGGACTCTCCACACTGATTTCCACTGTGGTTGCACTGGTCTACACTCCCATCAACAGCAGAGAAGGGTTCCTTTTCTCCACAGCTCCTCCAGCATTTGTTATTGGTTGATTTACTTTTTTTTTTTTTTTGGTACCAGGGACCAAACTCAGGACCTTATGCTTGCCAGGCAAGCACTTGTGCAGCTGAGCTATATCCTCAGCCCTGATTTCTTGATGATAGCCATTCTTTCTGTGGTGAGATGGAATCTCAGTGTTGTTTTAACTTGCATCACTCAAATGACCAGTGATGTTGAACATTTTTTCATATACTTATTTGTTGTTTGTATTTCTTCATCTGAAAAGTGTGTATTCATCTCAGATATGGGTCCAATTTTAATCTTCAGTATGTGCAGAACCAGTTTTTCCAGCACCATTTATTAAAGAGGCTACTTTATTCCAGTGTACGTGTTTCACCTTTTGTCAAATACAAGGTGGCTGGATCTTTAATTGGGTCTTTATAAATTTGGGAGGTCTGATTTTTTTTTGAGTTCTTTATATGTTCTCAGTAGTAAACCTTTGTCTGAGGAACATCAGGCAACATTTTTTTCCACATTGTAGGCTGTCTCTTCATTCTGTTGGTGGCTTCTCTTACTGTGCAAAAGCTTTTTAATAGGATGAGATCCCAGTTGTTGATTCTTTGTGCTGGTTCTTGTGCGATCAGGGCTTTATTCATGAAGTCTTTGCCTACATTAATGTCTTCAAGAGTTTCCCCTATTCTATCTTCCAGCAGATTTAATGTTTCTGTCTTAATATTTAGATCTTTGATCCATTTCGAATTTAGTTTAGTGCATGGTGAAAAATACAGGTCCAATTTTAATCTTCGGCATGTGCAGAACCAGTTTTTCTAGTACCATTTATTAAAGAGGCTATCTTTCTTCCAGTGAATGTGTTTGGTCCCTTTGTCAAATATAAGGTGGTAGAATATCCCTGAAGTTGTTTCTGCATCTTCTAATCTGTTCCATTGATCTTCGGGTCTGTTTTTTTGCCGGTACCATGCTGTTTTTATCAAAGTAGATTTATGGCATAGTTTCAAGTCAGGGATGTGATGCCCCCTGCCTTGCCTTTGTTGCCCAGAATTGCCTTTGCTATTCTAGGTCTCTTCTGGTTCCAAATGAATGTTAGGATTGTTTTCTCTAATTCTGTGAGATATGCTGTTGGAGGTTTTTTTTTTTGTACCGGGAATCGAACTCAGGACAGCTTTCCATTTTCTGATACCCGCTTCAAAGGAAGTTTAGTCTTATACGTTCTTTTTACACTCAGGGCAATAAATCTGGAAAGCGGTAAAGGGCGTAGACTGCACTACAGAACAAATTCTTTGATGACATGATCTAATCAGTGAAAAACCCCAGATGCGCATCGAGTGTATCGACGCTCTACTTATGAGGCCTAGAACAGCGAACAGGATCAATCTATTGCTTTTGCCTGTCAGTGAATAACGAGCGTTGATTGGTCGTGATTCAGGAAGCGGTGGGTGGGGGGCTGGGGAGAGCTTGCGAGAGAAGCGGCGCGTAAGAGGGCTGCGCCGCTTCGGGACCCGCGGTGTAGTGGGGCCATGGCGTCGCTCCGCTGTAGCTCGGTGGTGTGTGTGATCTGCTTAGAGACTCCCAAGTACCGCTGCCCGACCTGCCGCGTGCCCTAGTGAGACCTGGGGGTGGGGAGCGCCGGGATCTTGCCGGGTGCTCGTGGGGCGGCGGCCGGGCTGGGCGGGGGGTTGCGGCAGGGGCCATCGGGCCTTCTGGGCTGACGGGGTCTGTGTTTTCTGCTGTTCCAGCTGCTCCGTGACCTGTTTCCAGAAGCACAAGGGTAAGGACCCGGCGCCCCCGCCTCAGCCCCGTCCCAGCCCCGCACGTGGCAGCCCCCACGCCCGCCCTGTCCGGGACGCTTGGATCTCAGGCTGCGCCTCCTTCGGACTCCGTTGCGTCTGATCTGGTCGGGTCTACTCTCAGCCGCCCGGCGGCTTCTGCCTCTCAGTTCCCGGTGTCCCCGCCCTGCCTCTGCTGTTCAAAACCGCTGTGTAGTTTTCTATCAGAGCCTTTCTTCTACCTGCCATGCTTGTTTTTTTCTTTAAAAATAGCTGACTGCTTGAACCTCCAATACTGAGATAAGCCTTTTCTTATTTTTTAGTTTTTGAGACAGGGTCCCTGTAGTTAAGGCTGGCCTCCAACTCACAGTGATCCTCCTGCCTCAGCCTCCCAAGAGTCTGAGATTACAGGCATGCACCACCACGCCAGGCTAAATGTTTTCTAATTTAAAGGAAATCAGTCGTCTTCTGCTTTTGCAGCAAAAGTCTGTCCTAGCTGTGCTCCATCTTAGCATTCTGGCCTAGTCCCTTAGGGTTTGACGCTGCCTTGGCTGAAGTTAACTAGAACTTCTCTTTCAAATACAATAATGTCTTGTTAGAAACAGGTAGATTTGTCTACAATAAAGAGAAAAATCTCCGACCTATTGAGAAAAAAGCCCTAAAGTTCTGTGTATGGTGTGAACACATTTTTGTATAGTTATAAAAAAAGTGATATTTACCTGTGCATCACAAATTATTGTGTGTGCATTTAATTAATCTGTAAATATTATGTCTTTAAGGTGTGTGATTGGGGCTGGGGGTATAGCTCAGTGGCATAAGCGCCTGCCTACCCCCAAAAGACGTGTGATTAAAGCCGGCCACAGTGGTGCATACCTGTAATCCCAGCACTCGGCTGAGGCAGGAGGATCCTTGCGAGTTCGAGACCAACCTGGGCTACAAAGTGAGTTCAAGACCAGCCTGAACTGCATAGCGAGACCCTGTCTCAAAAGACAAAAAAAAAAAAAAAAGAAAAGCCAAAATGTGTGATTAAGAAACTGATGTGTGCTTTGAGGAAACTTAATTGGCACTGTCTGGTTCCTGCTTTTTTTTTTTTTTTTTTCTGGTTGCTGCTTTTATTTGGGTTATTTTCCACTTTTAATATTAGTTACAACTAGGATGTAGCTCAGTGGTAGAGCACTTACTTTGCAGTTGAGGCTCTGGATTTGTTTCCCATCACCAAAAGAAAGAAACAAAACCCCTAAACACTATTTCTCACAAGAATTTTTTTTTTCTTTCAACTGGGGATTAAAATCAGAGCCTTTGAACTGATTTACTTCCCCAGCCCTTTTTTTTTTTTTTTTCTTGCCACAGCCCATTTTTAAAAATTTTATTTTGAGACAGGATGCCCTGGAGTTGCTAAATTGCCCAGGCTGGGCTTGAATTTGTGATTCTCCCAACTCAGCCTTCCAGAATGCTGGGATTAGAGGCCTGAACCACCAGGCCCAGTGTTTCTCAGAATCTTTGGCTGATTCCTGAACTTTGCCTGTTTACTAAACTCATTCTTGTGATACTGTCGCTGATCTTATTTGTGGGTATTCTTTTCTCTTTCGTTTTTCCATTGTTTTTCCCTCTTGTTTTCTTCCCCTCCACTCCTTTGTCTTTTTGAGACAGGGTGTCACTATGCGATTCATGTAGCTCAGATTGACCTTGGAGTTGAGGTGACCCTCCTGCCTCAGCCTGCTGAGTGCTGGGGTTACAGGTGTGCACTACCTTGCCCACTCTCCTTTTCCTTTTTTTTTTTTGTCTTTTTGAGACAGGGTCTTGCTATGCAGTTCAGGTTGGCCTTGAGCTCACTTTGTATCCCAGGCTGGTCTCCAACTTGCAGCGATCCTCCTGCCTCAGCCTCCTGAGTACTGGGATTATAGGCATGCACCACCACGCCTGGCTCCTTTTCCTTCTTGACATCCAGATCTTTAACTCCAAACTCGTTTGGTCTCGAGAAACGAATACCTGTTTTGGTGTCAGTTACAGTTAAAATGAAAAATCTATCTTTCCTTTGTTTTTAAAAAATATTTTGTTTTACTCTATTGGATTTTTGAGACAGGGTCTCACTGTGTAGCCCAGGCTGGTGTCAAACTGAGTGAACCTCCTGCCTCAGCCTCCCAAGTGCCGGGATTACTGGGGTATGCCGCCACACCCAGCCTCTACCTTACCTTTTGGCTCCTCCTGTCTTCCTTCTACACAGAGCACAATCTTAAGAGTTAGACCTGGAGCTAGGTGTGGTGGAACACACCCATAACCCCAGCGTTTGGGAGGCTGAGGCAGCAGGATCACTGTGAGTTTGAGGCTGGCCTGAACTACATAGCAAAAACCTGTCTCAAAGAGAAAAAAAAGTTAGATCTGGGTGCTATTCTTGACCCTGCTGCTTAGTGAGGACCTTGGACAAGTTTCTCTAGTACCAGAAAACTGAGTTCTCTTGTCTGTAAGCGCGATTAATGATCTACGTCGTAGGTGGTGTATGAGGGTTCAGTGGGACGCTGCGTCTGCGGGACTGTGCTTGGCTCTTAGCGGCGGCTATCGCAGCCACCTCCTACCTGAGGAGCCCTGTTTTCCTCTTCACAGCATACTGTGTACTAATCTTGCCGAGTCTGCGTTGGAGGTCTCCCGTCTGCCCAGCCCCAGCCCCAGCCCTTTCCTGCTACTGCATGCTCCGTCATTCCGAATGAGTTCTGCTTTTGCTTTTATCCCTTCCAGTGTCTGGTTTTCAGTGGTGGCTTAAAGCAGTACCACTGCTCTTTTCCTGTCTCTGGAGCATTTTCAAAAGAAGCCTTACAGTCCCGCATGGAAAAGAAGTGGAGTTGCTTTGCTGGAAATGGGGTTGGGGGATCTGGCCCTCTTACCCGACACTCCTACGGGGTTCCTCTAGGCGCCCCTTGGGCAATCAGGAGCTCATTACCCTGTGTTCGTGCTGCTGCCAGGATGACTTTTCTGTAACTCAAATGTGAGGTATTACACCTGTCTGTCCCATGTTGAAAACTTTATGGTTCTCTGTTGTCCTCTAGAGAGAGACATTGTCACAGTGCTTTCGTTGACATAGAGGCAGAGTAGGGATTAGTGGTGCTGTTGATGCTACTGGGACTCCTGTAGACCCTGCAGCCTGTGAGACCACCAAAGCCCTTCCTGCCCTAAATGCCAGTGGCACCCTGGCTGAGACACTGTGGGGTGGGGAGGGGAGACTGACTTCCTGTGGTGGCATTCTTTTTTTTCAGGGGTGGGGCGTTTGAGACAGGGTTTCACTGTAGAGTTTAGGCTGGCCTCAAACTCACAGTGATCCTTCTGCCTCAGCCTCCTGAGTGCTGGGATTACAGGTGTACACCACCAGCTGTGCCAGCTGTGGTGATATCTTTTGCTCTGGCTTCCTCCTTTTGTATCCCAAACACCTGCCACATCTGCCCTACCAATCAGCTCATCACCGTCTTCTGGTATCTGACTGTTGTGTCAGGATCATAGACCTTTTCCTCTACCAAGTGTACTTGTCTTTCCATTGAGTCTTCTTGGTCTTACGTCCTGGTTTTCTCAGGTGGATTTAGACCAAGTCCTTCTTATCTCTCTCACTGTTGTCCATGACTAAACCCTCCAGAGTGGGAGTGGTGCATTCATCTGTGTGTCCCTCCGGCGCATACAAATTTGGTATCTGAGAGGGCTGAGATAGTCACGGGATGCTCACTGAAGTCAGTGCATCACTGAGTTACGGTGAAAGGCTTATGAAATTAGGCAGGGCAGGGGCTCGGGACGGGTTCTTGGGATGCACGAGCCCGGCTTTCTTAGCCCTGTCAGGATTACGATTGCTTATGGTTTTCCTTATCCTGCCCCTGTGTATCCATCTCCACCCTATACACATGCTTAACCCTTGGTCTGGTGGCAGACGCTGCCTTGGAGGAAATAGAGGAGACATGCGCCTGACGTTTTGTCTCTTTCAGAGCAGTGCAACCTTAAAACTCATCCTGTGGAGAAAAGAAGATCAGCTCCTCCTGTAAAAGTTGCACAGCTTGAGGAAAACAAAGGTTGGTTGGTTGCATTGTTCAAGGGGGACATACGGGGGCAGGAGGCCGAGGGAGAGCGCCCTGGCTGTGGCCTGGGTGTTTGTGACGGGCCCTGCTGGCAGGAGCCTGGCAGCTTTGGGTGTCCCTCCAAGGCCTGGCTGGGCTGTCACTTCAGCTGATCAAGGCTTAGGCAGGAGGCTTCTTTTGGTCTGGGTCACCTCACTGCTGCTCCGAGCTTACTGTGGCAGAGACTGTCATCCTGTCTGTCCATCCGTCCGTCCGTCTGTCCATTCATCCATCCATCCATCCATCCATCCATCCATCCATCCATCCCACCATCCCACCATCCCACCATCTGACCTTCCTGAATTTCCTTAATATCTCTGGGTGTCTTACACGGAGCCAGGCCATGCAAGCAGCCCCTCTGGTTCCACCAAAGTGGCGTTGAAGATTCACGGCAAAGGGATGGTCCATGTCTGTCCTTTGAGAAACTTCCAGGTTGGGTTCAGGCAGTGCCGGTGATTTCTGCCCAAGCTAAAGCACAGGGAATTCTGCTTGCCGGGTTTTAGAGAGCTCCTAGTCACTGGCCCATCGCAGCGCTGGAGCCGGGGTGCGGGGGGATGGGATGCTCAGGCTGCAAGCCTAGAGAGCACGGGGAAGCCTGGAGTGAGTGTGCAGCACTAGGATACAGTTGTTCAAGTAGAATCACTTCTTACCTTTCACTTCAGCACAAGAGGAGAGTTAGTATGATTGTGAATTCCAAGAAGGGTGTTTTCTTCGTTTTGCTTTTAGCTATGTGTACACCCATCGTGTTTGCATCTACATTTTTATCTGGCGTGAGTGTTGAAGTCATGTGTCTGGCTTTGAGTTCTGAGCAGTTGATTGTGCTCTATGTTCCTCAGATGACGATTCCTCTGTAGCTGATTTTCTCAATAGCGATGAGGAAGAGGACAGAGTTTCTTTGCAGAATTTAAAGAATTTAGGTAAGTCTGTCCTGTGTTTATTTCCTTGTCAACCACCGAGATGCATTTATTCTACGTATAGAACGTGATTTGTGTGTGTGTGCGTGCACGCGCGTGCTGGGGATTGAATCTATGTGGATTATGTGCATGTGCCACCAAGGGACGCATGTATGCTAGATAAACAGTGTACCACTGTGCTATACCCACATCCCTAATTTCCCTTTTTTTTTTCCCTTGAAGTGAGATTTTAAAAACTTATTAAATCAAGAATATAGCAAGGGGCTGGGAATATAGCTCAGTGGCACAGCACTTGCCTGGCAAGCACAGGGTCGTGCGTTCTATTCCTGGTACCAAAAAAAAGGAACATAGCATGCAAGGCTCTTCCTGTCCAGCGACATGGTTCACTAAAGGGAAGCGGCCTGCCCACAGTGCTCCCATTTCCCCTGCCTAGATTCCTACTCTTCCAGGTTGGTAAGGCGTGGTTCATATTTTCTTTGCTAAGCTTTTCTCAGTCTATTGTTTCTTAAAACAGAAACTGTTCTGGCTAGCCTTAGTACCTTGGACTTCATTTTATGAGAGTTTGTCTCACACGCTAATCTGTATACAAGGACCTGTATCCCCAGGGCTTGACTTACAGTCCAACCATTGATACATACTGGTAATCACAAGATGTGATTCTTTTTTTAAGGGATAAATGGGCAATGGTGTTAATTCTGATTTTTTGCTGGGTTTGGTGGCGCATGCATATAATCCCCAGCAGTCTGGAAGGCTCAAGCAGGAGGATCACAAATTTGAGCTGAGCCACTGCAACTCTGACTTTTCAGGCCCACTCTCAAAAAAAAAAAAAAAAGAAGAGCTAGAGATGTAGCTCAGTGGGAAGGCCTGGGGTTTATTCCTTAATACCACACACAACCGTAGAAATCCCCACGTTTTAGTAGCACTGTTTACTCAGTTCTCATATATATATATATAATTAATACATTAATGCAGTTCCTAAAGGTGGGAATTATTTCCATTCTTTCCACATCACAGAGTCAGGCTCAGCTGAAAGATGCTGGGTCCCATGGTAGTGATTAGGCTGAGGTGTAAAAAGCCCTGTACAGGTGTCAGTGCTTGTTCACTGCGCACTGTCTTTTTGAGACAGGGTCTTTCCTATGAGTTCTGGCTGGCCTTGAGCTCACTTTGTAGCCCAGGCTGGTCTCGAACTTACAACGATCCTCCTGCCTCAGCCTCCTGAGTGCTGGGATTACAGGTGTGCCACCATGCCTGGCTCACTGTGCACTCTGGATCACAGGCTCAGACAGAGTATCTGGTACAAATGTTAGCACTGAGGGCCTTTGTGCCTGCGTGTGGAGAAAAAGAACATCAATGCCATGCAATTGTTCTGTGTATTTGCGCTGATAATATAGAACCTGAATTTGTTACTCAGTTTAACTTGGAAATCATTTGCTATGCTAGTCCCACTTGTCTATATGTGAAACATTGGGGTTGTGAATGGTGTGACATTCCTGTGGTATCCACACGGGAGGAGTTGGTTCCAGGATACACCCCCAGCTCAAGTTGCTTATATAAGTGGTGTATTTCTGTATCACTTACATGTAGATTTTAAATCATCTCTAGGTTACTTATATAATAGCTCGTAATACAGAGTAAATAGCTGTTACGTAAGGAGTAATGACAATAAAAAGTTTATACATGTTTGCTACAAATTTAACTTTTATTTTTTTTTTTTGAGGTACTATGGATGGAAGCCAGGGCCTCCACACTGAGTGACATTTCCAGCCCTTTTTTCTTTTGTCTTTTTGAGACAGAGTTTCACTGTGTAGTTTGGGCTGGCCTTGAACTCACAGGAAGCCTCAGCCTTTCAAGTGCTGGGATTACAGGCATGTGCCACCATGCCTGCCCCAGCCCTTACAACTTTGAGACAGTTACTATGTCACCAGGTTGCCCAGGTGAGGCTCAGCCTTGGTAACCCTCTTGCCTCAGCTTCTTGAAGTGCTGGGGTTACAGGCATGTAGCATTGTGCTGGGCTCAGACACAGTTTTTTCTGTCTGTGGTTGGATGCCCCTGTGGATGTGGAACCTGTGGCAGTCAGGGGCCTGTGTAGGTTAAGGGGATATAATGTTTATTACATTAGAAACATCTTTATGGGTTCTCATTTGAACTTGATAGCTTTTTTTCTTGTTAATTTATAAGGTGAGTCTGCACCATTAAGAAACTTACTGCTTAACCCCCACCTGAGACAGCTGATGGTCAACCTTGATCAGGGTGATGACAAGGCAAAACTCATGAGAGCCTACATGCAAGAGCCCTTGTTTGTGGAGTTCGCTGACTGCTGCCTAAGGGTTGTAGAACCATCCCGGAATGAAGACTCTTAAGGTGGATTGCTGTGCTCCTTGCCGAAGCACGTAACTGACACTCAGAGGCTGCCCATTGCTTCTCCCATGGGGGCAGCTGGTGTGGGACCTTAGGTGAGGCCGGTGAGGTCCCAGAGGCAGCAGACTCGCTGCTGTCGGCTATGCAGGTCCTCGCCTCCGCGGACATGGGCTCATGTTTCAGACAGATGACTTTATTCAAGGTGGCTATCCTTTGTGAGACTTGACATGCACATGTACATCGCTGTCTTAAAATACTTTATCTTTGGTACAGTTTGGGTAGACATCATAAATATCAAGTTTTATACCCATGAGTTAAAAACTGGATCAGTGTTAATAAAATCAAGATATGGCAGTTCATTTGTACATTGCACTGTTCATTGTAGTCCCTAATAAATCAACAGCTTATTAAAATATGAAAATTTTGTTTTAGGAACTAAATGCAAATTTTTGCCCAGCTAAAATTCTAGAGCTAATTTTAGGTTGACTTGCCCATTTTCTTCTAAAGTGCTTGTGGGGTGGGGTGCCCCTGTAGTGACAGATACACACTCTAGGACAGTTGCACCGAGTTTCGTCTGAGAGGGTGGTGAAATGGGAAGTTCCCTGTGGCTCCAGTCCTGGCTTGGTAACCACCAACCCTGACCCCTGCCGATGCTTGGACTGTAGCCCCAGGCCTGCTGGTGTGCTGGCCACGCAGCCCTTGCTGGCAGGCTGGAGCTGCTGTGGGAATAATTTGGCAGTTATTGGTTAAATGTCTTTGGCAAGGCAGGTGCAGCTGGCAGGGAAAAGCCTTGGAGAAACAGAGGCACCAAGGATCACCCACCAGATGGGAGGAGGGGTGAGCTCAGACGTGGACTGGCCCGTGTCTTTCCAGCAGAATCTGATTAAAGCCAGTAACACTGTAGGGCGAAGGTTCAGGGCAGATGTCCGCGTAGCGCAGTGGAGACTTCCTGCAGTGAAACTTTATCGAGCCCTAGTGGGAGAGAGACAGAAAGGAAACCTAGCCTCAGCTCCCTGCAGTGCCAGGCCCTAAAGGTGGCTCACAGCACAGGCGCTAGAGATGTGACGCAGGGTGGATGGACAAGGGCTGGTGTGGCCACAGTGCTGAGTTAATGACTGCTTACAGCTGGAAGATCAAAACATGTTTCTGTTTACACTCATGCTGGCCTGGGAGTTTTCATGGGATATTTAATTCAGATTATGGCCAACAGTCTTTCCTTCTGTGTGGAAATTCTGTTTCCTTTCCTCTGCCTTGTCAGTTTCATCACTCCTTGCTGTGGCCCATGGAACAGCTGAACATTAACCCATTGTATGGATGAGGAAATGGAGGCTCTGACATGATGTGCTTTTGCCAGGTGACCCAGTGTCTGGAGCAGAGCCAGGACTCAGACCCTGAGGGTTGGCCTTTAACCACAACACAGCTGTCTCCTTTCCTTAGGTGGTTTTTAGGAGGCTGGGCTTGGTGGGGTGAACCTACACTGTCTGAGGACTTGGACTGCTGCTCATTTCTTCAGCTGGAAAAGGAGATAAACCAAGTAATAATGTGAGGAGGGCTGGGGCTGAAGTGGTTGCCCAACATGTGCAAGGCCCTGGGTTAGCTCCTTACTACCACACACACAAGGTGTAAACATGGTGTCAAATTCAGTGTCATCTGACGTGAAAAACTTGTTACACCCAAGTTTTTTCAAAGTAGAACTAGTTAAAAGGAGACTCAGCTAGAATACTTGGAGGCAGATTTTCAGAAGTGAAGGGCCGTGGAGGACTCCCAGCTCTAACAGGGGGAAGGATCCAGACCTGCAGCTAGCTTGGAGCCCAGGTGTTGCTTTACCCAGTAGGGTCAGGGGAGGTCGTGTGCCAGCCTCGGCCTTCCTGCCGTGGGGCTGCCTAGGCTTTGCTGCCTGCCCTCCCAACCTGGAGCTGTCACGAGCAGGACTGCTGCTGCATCACAGCCTACCTGAGGCAGTGCTCGGATGGACATGACGCCAGTCTGGCCCTGTGCTGTCTGGACGGTGCAGGTGCTGGGATTGCCTGAGGGAAGCTGGAGGCAGGCGCAGACGACCAGTTTCCTCTGAAAGCCGCGCACACCCACAGCTGCGTTGGCCAGGACCAGTCCCAAGGGCCAGAGGCGGATTATTGCCCCCTGGAGCCTGCTCTGCCCTGGGGGTAGCGGGGAGGAGCTCAGGGAACCAGGAACTTGAGAGAAGGGCTTCTCTTCAATACCATCCAGTTCTTTAGAGGCAAGGCAGGCCATTCTTACCTTAAAAAGAGAAATACCCCTTTATAGCTTTACAATTGTTTAGCCCCCTTAAGGGAAAATGTAAAACAAAATTATTTTTAATAAACCTTGACATGATGAATTAAAGGCACCTAGCTGTGAACAGCTGATTGCCTTGAACTAGCATGGCCCCATGTGGCAGAATGTCAGGCAAGATGCAATACTTTAAGATAAAGTAACAGCTTTTCTGAGATAGCATGGATACAGCAGCGGTAAACTGACTGCCTCGGCTTAGTACGTTCCCAGAGCTGCTTTCGCCTCCTCTCTCTGCAGAGCACCCTGAAGGGAGGTCCTCGTGCCTGCCATGTACCGCCCCGGCACTGGTCTGCCTGGTGCGGATCTGTACGTGCTGCCCGCCCGACTGCTTGAGCCATACTCACTCTCCACTTCTGCCAGCCGCGCTTGATGACCGTGGCAGCTGCGTGCAGCCTCTGGATATGTTTCCGAGTTAACCAGGAACGAATGGCTAAGAGTTTTGGCCAGAAACAGCAAAGATAAAATGGTCATTAGAGCTGTTGGCACCCTGGCTGTCAGCACAAGTTGCCGTGAAATGTGTGTTTTTTCCACAGAAACAGCTACTGCATGTTACTATAAAAAGTAAGGCTCTGAAGTCAACACAAGGCAAAACAGGCTCAGAAAACTCGTCCCCTTGCCCACAAACGTGGAGATCTCTGCACATTGAAGGGGTGTGTAGGGCTTTGGGGAGGACCCAACAGGATCACCTCCCATCACAGGCTCAGTCCTGGGCAGTGCCAGGAATGGGAGGGGTCTAAACTGTCTATACTTTAAAAAATGATTGATCTTGGGCTAGGGCTGTAGCTCGGGGGTAAGAGAACTTGCACAAGAATTTACTTTTCTGTTTAAAAAAACTGCCATGCACGGAAGTGGACACCTGTAATCCCAGCACTTAGAAGGCTGAGGCAGGAGGACCACTGCAAATTCAAGGCAGTCTGGGCTACATAATGAGTTCAGGGCAGCCCAAACTACATAGCAAGACCATGTCCCAAGAAAAAGGAAAGAGAAAAAAAAAAAAGCATGTGTGTTTGGGGTGAGGGGACTACACACTGGCACAAACAGCTCTGTAGGTCTGAGAAAGGGAAAGTGAGGTCACATGTCAGCTTTTCCTGCCTGCAGGGCACCCTTTTTTGTGGAGTGATTAGTTTCTACTGAACTGGAGAGGCTGTGAAAAATGCCAGAGAATTCAAATGCCAGGCCCTGTGGGACGTACCACCTACCTGAGGCTGGGGCACATCTTCAGTAGGTGGTGGTTCAACAAGCCAAGTTTCAAAGGAAACCAACATCAAGTTATGTCCTGCGCCTGATCTCGGACAGGCGGCCCCCTCCACCTACCTGCCTGAATGAGAACGGCTGCCTGCCTCTGCCTCTCCTGCTTTCGGTACTGGTGTCGCCTCCAGCCACTCTGGATGCAGCGGGCACACTGCTCCAGCACCTGTGCACGCCTGCCTTCTAGGAGCTCTAGCTGGGAGAAGGGAGGGGCGCACACTGAGGGCTTCGGCGGCTGCTCCCGCTGCCCTGGGGAGCACCTGCAGCCGGATTCTGTAATCTCATCCCCGAAGCCGCTTACCGTGGACTCAGTCATGAACACCTTGGTCTTGCCGCAGTGTAGTGGGTCAGCAGGTGTGGCTGCCGTCCGAGTTAGCGCTGGCAGAGCATGGAGAAGGTCCCGCAGGACAGTCTGCAGCGTAGTCTCCTCACTGCAGGGAAGCTGTCCTGGGGAATGGGCAGCAGAGGCCCATCAGTGCTTGGTCGTCACATGGCCTGAGCAATGGACTTTGGTCTCCTCAGCACTCTCCAAGCCCCTTCTTACTGTTCTTGCCCCTAGCCATTTCTTCCTCCTCCCTTTTTCAGGAGAGGCCAGAAGCAACCCCTCTGTAGTCCCCCAGAGCCCTGGCTACCATGGAGTCTTGGGAGTCCCTACCCTTGGGAGTCTTGGGAAGCATCTTGGGAGTCCCTGCATCCTGCAGCCTTCATTGCCTTCGGTCTCTGGACAGGCTGGCAAAGGGCTGATGGCTGGAAGAGCAATTCCTTCCACCCTGGAGTCCCAGGCTACCTGGGCAGCACCTACCCCTCTAACATTTATGAGAAAAGAGAGAAATAAAAGCCCCGTCCCATGAAGGCCCAGTACGTCCCCCTCCCACCCTCCCGGGGGTGTGGGGCTGACTCCTGTGCAGGAGGATTTACCTGAGGGCTCTGACCTCCTTTACTGCACAGCACCTCTCGAGACAGAGGCAGCCAAAGCAGCAGCCAAAGCAGGTGCCGGAGATCAGACGGCTGCAAGACCGATCAGGGCCCAGAGGGACTTGGCAAGAGACAGAACAGGAGAGCAAACCATGGAGAGAGGAAAAAGGAAGAGCGGGTGAAAGGAAAGTGACACGCTGCCCAAGAGGGGAGAAAAACAAAGCAGAAAGGCCTGCAGAGGTTCTGGTGGGCCTGGCTGCGCTGGGTGGCTGGGAGAGTAGCTGTGGGGGCCGGGGCCTTGCAAACTGCCCTTGGCCCTTCTCCCTCCACCTGTGCCCGGGCCTCGTGTCCACATGCCAGCCACCTCGGAGCCATGCCCTGAGGTTAAAGCTGCCAAGTCCCTCGCAGACAATTCTTGGGCTGAGACCTAGAGCTCAGGTCCCATGAGGCAGACTCTTCCATTTCCCCCCGGCCTCTCTTCCTCTTGCTTCTTCCCCAGAGCCAGGGCTGAACCCATTTTCTCCTTTTCGTTGCTACATCCAGCTGGCTGACTTGTCCATGCGTTTCCAGACTGTGCCCACCTCTCTGGCTTCTCTCCACTTGTACAGCTTTGCGGGCTCATTTCCAAGACCCTCCAGACAAGACCCCCGGGCTGGTCTCCAGAAGGCACGAGGCTGAGGGAGTCACTGGTTTCCTCCCCTGCAGTGCCCCTCCTCTGCCCTGGTTCCTTGACCAGACCCCACCTGCTACCGCTCCGTCCTGAAGAGCCACTGCATAGCCTGGGGCTGCGCACACCCACACAGCTGCCGGGCCTCTGATCGCACTGCGTGTCTTGTGGAACCCTTTCACCTGCTGATGCAATTTGTCCGCACGTGCAGCCTTCCCAACATGACACACAGCGTCCTGTTCACAGCTCTGCCTTTCAAGTCTGCTCTCCCATGAAGCCAAGAACTAGAAGGGCAGGGCTATAGTGTATTCATCTCTGAAGCCCAGCCCTGAGGAGGTGCAGAGGAAGCAGCAGGAACCTGTGGTTGAACAAATTAGCAAATGGGCACACTCACCGGAGTGCCCTCTGGCAGCACACAGGTTATGGAGTCCAGATGGTGTGTGAGGACGGAGCCTTCTCAGTGATGCATACCGCTCCATGAAGTTCTGGTGAGAGACCCTGGAAGCCAAAGCAGGTGGAAGAGAAGGACTTCATCCGGGAGCCAGGAACAATGTCTGGGGCTTAAAAGAAGTTGTTCCATTTAATCTGCTGAGGGGCCCAGCGAGGTGCTGCCCTGGCTGGCCGCGCTGAATGCATGGGATGAGTGCCAGAGCAATTACCAGGGGCCCTTGGCCAAGTCTGTGGAGGCCACTTGAAATCGGCTGCTCCTCCTCTCCGCCCGTGTCTGCAGAGCAGTGTTTTTCTCATTTAATGGGATCTGCAGCCTTTCCTCCGACAACCAGACCACCCGCCACGCAAACATGCTGACCTCTGACCCCGCACCCTCCTCTTCCTCCTGGTTTCTCCGCTCCCCTTCACAGCAGCACTGCTCTGAACAGCCGCTGACACCTGGCACCTGCACCTCCTCCCAGTTGCTCCTCAGAGTTTGGCTTCTGTCTCCACCACTAAGCTATCATGGTTCCTGTCACAGCCAGCAGCCGCCACCAATCCAGTGCTGCCCCCTCTCCTTGTGCATTATTCTCTCAGCCTCCTGGACACCTGCCACACCACCGTGGTCATCTCCTCCACTCGTGGCTCATTCCTCAGGGAATGACTTGAGCCCCTCCTCTCTCCCGAGGTGACTTCCTCCTTGCTTGTCATGCTAAGGCCCACTGAGGAAGGATCCTCATGTGCCCTCCCATTCTTAAAGGTGTGCTGAGCCCCGCCTCACAGCTTCTCAAAACTGACAGGGCCATAAAAGCACTCCTGACTGCCACCTCTCTTCCTCTGCCACCCTCCAATCTGGGCCTTACCCAGACCAACCGTTTTGGTGAACTGTTCTCCAAGTCATCCACCTGTGGTAGAGGGGAAGCTGCCTTGGGAGTCGACTGCCCCCTGCAGGACGCCTGCTTTCCACTCAGCAATGCATCCAGTCCCTCTCTTCCCATTGCAAACCACACCATCTCCCCACTGCTCACCCAACACCTGCGACAGCCTCCTTGCTCACAGCCTCACTTCTGTCCTGACCCTGTGGCCCACCTCCCACAGCAGCACAGGGATCTTCTGAGACTATGAATGAGAGCACACCCCTCTCTCCTTGTAATGCCCAGCAGCTTCCATTGCACTCAGGACAAACCACCAAGTCCTCCCACGCCCTACGAGGCCCTGCAGTCTGGCTCCTGCCCACCTCCCTTCCCACCGCTGGCGTTGTGCGGTGCAGGCCTGTTAGCACCTCAGTCCTAACCTGCAGCTCCGTGGTGGCGGCTCCCTTGGTCTGGACTGCCTTCCCCTCCCCTGGATCTTCACAGGCTGGGCCTTTCCTGTCCCATCACCCTGAGCTGCCTGGAGGGGTCCTTTTCTGGCCAGCCATGGAGCCCTGGCCCTGGTAATCTATCACACAGCATTTTTCTTTCTTTCCTGACTCCAGTTACACCTGTTTCTTTTCTGTGCTTGTGGAAGGTACTGGGGATTGACCCCAGGGCCTTTACATTGAGCTACACTGACAGCCTTTTTTATTTTGAGACAGGATCTCACTCAATCAAACTTGGAATCCTGCCTAAGCCTCCCAGAGTGCTGGGATCACAAGCGTGCACTTATTTTTCTTGATTCCACAGGAACGTGTGCCCCAAGAGCCCAGAAACTCACCTTCATTTATTTACTGATACGTTAGCAGAAACTGCTGGGTACAAGCACAGCACACAGTGAGTGAGTGCAGAAATAAACAGGTACTGCCCTCTGAGCTCCAGCCTGACCTCCACAGACCTGCCTTTCCCTGCATCCCCATCCCAAGACCATTCTGGGTTGGGCAGCTTCTTGTCCGCCTGAGTCTTGAGCTCCGCCCTCCAGCGGCCCTGCCCCCTGCGGTGATGTGGTCACTCACCGGATGGGGAAGCCAGCAGCACTGATGTGGATGGTCTCCACAAGGCCACAGGCCTCCAGCTGGCTCAGGACCTGCAGAGGTGGGAGACGGTGGCAGCTATAGGCTGGAAATGCCTTTCTGCCCTTCTCAGGCCTGGCCTGCACGGAGCTGCAGGCTCCCCTGTCTTTGTTGATGGGGAATTTCCTTGGGACAGCAAGAAATCAAGTGACCTTGAAAAAACCTCCCTCCTAGAAAGTAGGTCCCAGTGGTCCCAAGACCCTCTACCTGTTGGCTGACTTCTGATACAGCCAAGCGCTGCAGACTCACAACCCACAGTGCAGCCCAACCGAATTTCTAGTTTTGATTGTGTTTACTTTTCACAGGCGGTAGAGTGGCTTACAGCTGAGGGGCAGAGGAGGTCATCCGGTGAAGACGCTTCCATGATCTGAGCCCAGGTCTGTACATGTGGTCCTGGCTACAGGCCTGTACATCTACCAGGTGGCTGTGGGACGCTTCAGCACTGTCCACTACTCACACATCCGTGCCCCTCAGAGTTCAGTGCCCTGAGCAAAGGGCAGCTTCTGCCCAGAGTGCTGTTATACAAATTAGAAAAAGTGATGCCTCCAGTCAGAAATGACCACATTGTGTGTGGACTACTGAGGTGACAGACTGTCCACTAATCATAAAAGACACCCATTCTTCTGGGCAGCTTTAGGCCCTCATCAGGGCACATGGCTTTGTTCCAATTTTTTTTTTGTCTTTTTGAGACACAGTCTCGCTATAGTTCAGGCTGGCCTTGAGCTCACTTTGTAGCCCAGGCTGGTCTTGAACTCGCAATGATCTTTCTGCCTCTGCCTCTCAAGTGCTGGATTACAGGTATGTGCCACCATGCCCGGCTCCAATTTTTTTTGGAGATAGGATCTCACTATGTAGCCCAGGCTGTCCTTGAACTTGTAGCAATCCTTCTGCCTCAGCCTGCTAAATGCTCAGATTACAGGTGTACGCCACTATGCCTGGCCACATGGCTTCGAAGTAGAAAGCAGTATGCACTGGAACCCCTACTTACCTCCTCAGCTAGGCCACTGTGCAGTGCCCCAGGCAGACAACCATACCTAGCTGCCCTGCCAGAGCAGGAGAGACCCCTGTTGTCCCTTCATGTCAGGCAGGTATCTTGCCCTTCCTCCTCCCAGGGCCTTGGTCAGATGGGGCCCAGTGGTGATTACCTCCTCTTGGAGGAAGGTCTGCGGCTGGCCCTGGCTGTTAGGCTTGATGCAGCGAATGTAGTGGGGTGTGGTGCTGTGTAGGACCAGCAGGAGCTGTTCCAGGGAGGCCTGCACATGGGAGAAACTCAGGCTTAGGCAGGGACTAGGGCTGCTTGGGGCCATGAGCTGGGCCCTGGTTAGTGATTGCATCATGCACCTCCAGCAGCCCTACAGCCCTGAGACCATGACCTTCATCTGCCCTGGGGACTACTAGAAGCTCTCAAGGAGCAGGCAAGCATCCTGGGCCGTTTGCTGCCTGAATGGTCTCCCTGTGTATCACCTCAGCCTCCTCCCCAGAGCAATCTTTCTAGAATAGTTTCTTAACTGCTGCCGCCCAGGCAGGGGACTGGCAACAGCTGCCATTACTAAGCCTGCCCTGTGCCCTGGAGGCTGTGCCAGGGACTATGACCTGGGCAGTCAGTCTGACGGGCCTCAGGCACACCCGTGTGTGAGGCTGGGGCAGGAAAGTGCCCCTCAACCTGGGTTTCATAGGGTGCCTCAAGGTGACAAGGCATCGAAGTTTGACAGCTGAGAAGGAGCACTCCACCCCGAGTGTTACGGGAGCTGGGAGTGAGGGGAGTGGAAGGACAGTGGTCAGGAGATGCCAGGAAGGCTGAGAGGGCAGAAAGGGACATCTTGACACAAGTGACAGCCTGCTCCAGCTGAGGACAGGGTTTGAGAAGGGCCTGGTCTCAGAGGTTCACAGAACTGCTGCTTTCCTGTGACCACCTATCGGCAGAAGGGGAGGGGCCCCTAGGCTGCTGGTCTGTTTGTTTCCTTCTTTGTCCGCTACACTGAAGTAGAAGACCACGGAGACGAGGACCATGTCTACCTGAGTCCAGCCCTGCAAGGTAAACATCTGAGAGAACATGATCTTCACCTGCCCTCGGGACAACTACTGGAGACTGAAGACTGCACTGAGCACCTCACACCAGCACCAACAGACCCACCTTGAACTTGGACACCACAGTCAATGCAGGGGCCCTGCTCTGGCCAGGGGGTTCTTCCTGAGTCTTCTCTTTGGGTTGAGTAGGGAACAGCACTGTGAGAAGTGGGTCCTGGGATAACTGCAGGAGCTCAGTCAGTTCAGGAGGCACAGGGTCCTATTTGGAAGGGGTAAGGGCAGCAGGTGAGGGCAGGTGGACTGCTTCCCAGGCAGTCTACGGCCTGGCACAACCTTGCCCAGCCAAGCCCCAGAAGACATGGCTCCCAAGGAGGGCGGGATCTGAGTCCAAGAGAGGAGCAGATCCACTGGCCGATCAGAGAGCCAGACCCAGGCTGGCACGGGTCACGCCCAGGTGGGTCAAGGTGGCTGAGCAGAGACCTCAGGGCTGGGCCCAAGATGGTGGTCGGGGATTCTGGGAGGACATTTAGGAGAAAGAGGGCCCCTGATGAGAAACTACTACGATCACACCGCAATGACTGGGCCGCCAGAAGCCACGGCCAGGCCTTACCTTGTTCTTCTCCACCAGGCCTGCTGTGAGGTACCGCACAGGCCCTGCGTAATGCACCACGATGAAACTGGGCTCCCGGCTAAGCTTGTTGTGGCCCAGGCAGGGGCTTCCAGCCAGGGCACCCTCAATGCGTGTCTGGAGCTGGGCGGCGCTGCTCGGCCGGTTAAGACGGCATTCCTGTAGGGTGGAAGTGGGCAGTCAGGTGCAAAAAACCCAGGTCGCATCTCACCACCACCCTCACTGGCCCCATCTTCCGGCCCCCACGGCACTGAAGTGCCCCCGAGAGGGAGAATAGAAGGATTAGCAAGCCCACTTGGTAGATGGAGAGACAGGGGTAGGGGAAGCACAGAAAAGTCATTAAGGCCCAAGACAAGCCTAAAGCCCAACTCTGGGGCTCCGTTCACTGGCTGACCCTCCTCACCTCATTGAGAAGGGAGCAGACGCTGATGGGGCTCCCCTCGATGAGATCCAAACAGGTCTGGTTGTCCTGGTAACTGACAAAAGACCACTCCAGGCCCTCAAGTGCGTATTCCTCCTAGAGGCATGGGTAGGGGACACGAGGGAGACAGAAGCTGTAGTCTGAGGCCCAGGTGGGCCATCCATGGCTGGCCTCAGGACCACAGCATGTTCCAGAACGGCATCAAAGGAGGAATAAGCCCATGTCAAAACATCACACTGAGCTGGGGATGTGGCTCAGGGACGGAGTGCTGCCTGGTGTGTGCGAGGCCCTGGGTTCAGTCCCCAGCACAACACACATATACATGTGCTTCATATGTACAGTTATTACTTGACAAAAATAAAATGAGGAACCAAGGCTCCTGGAACTGGAGAGCCAGGCAGCAGCAGAGGGTCCAGGAGGACGCCCCGCCCGCCCTCACCTGCTGAGCCCGTAGATAGTGAGCCACGAAGTGCTGCTGCAGCTTCTCGTTGGCGTAGTTGATGCACAGCTGTTCCAGACTGTTGTTAGGAAATGACTCAAATCCATACACATCCAGAAGGCCTGGGAGGATGACAGGGAATCTGTGGGGCCACCAGGGGGAGCAGGTAGGGGCCAGGGGGCTCCAAGAGCCCAGGGATGAGGTTGAGTGAGCAGGACACCTAGTGGTGGGTGGAGCACACCACCGCTGTCCTCTGCCCTCCATGCAGCATGGCTCCCCTGTCCACCCGACACTCTCTCAAAGCAAGCAGAAAAGCCAAACAAGGTGCAAGGGGCAGCCCAGGGCATCAGGCCTATGTCTGAGTCAATTCTCTGGTCCCAACAGGTTTTTCCTGTGAGAAAACCAGGGCCTAAGGAACACTTCCTGTGCAAGTCGAGTTTGGAGGGCCTTGGTCTCACCAGCCTACAATTCTACCATTCCATGAGCAAACTGCACAGGTGCCTCTAGGCCTTACTTCCCCGTTACCTGACTTCCTCACCAGCGTAAGAATGATGTGGACCTCAGTCTTGTCTCCCATCTAGCCCAACCCCTGCTACTTTCCTGGGATTGGCACTGGGTCTCTGGTAGAAGAGGGCCTTATAGACAAGGCACTGCTTGAGAGTGTCTCGGACAGGTTGGATATGGGCACCGGAAAAAAAAGAGATCTTGACCAGACACTGGGCAGGTGGCAGACGGGTGCAGAGAAGGGAAAGGAGTCACTCAGGGGACCCCTGGCCCCCGTCCAGGCCACTACCATTCTTTTCTGGAAGGTTCCCGGCAGGGTGAGCCCCTGCTACCTATGAAAGCAGTCCACGCGTCAGGGTCTGCACAGATGCTGCTGTTGATCACCGACACCAGCCAGTCAAAGAGTCTGAGAGAGAAAGAGTCTGGTAAGAGGGGTCAGGCTCAGCCTGGGGTGCTAAAATTTCCTCCTCAGCCAGGGTGCCCCATGCTGGAGAGCCCCGTACTCTGGACCTCACAGGCCATAGGCTAAGTTGTCTCCTGCTCCTTCCACCTGCCTGCACCTATGCCAGATCCAGGTTCTGGGCATGCATGTTCCCAGGTGCACACAGACCTGGCCTGTCCTCCCAGCAAGACTGAGCTCAGGCCCAGCTGTGCTCCTGGACCAGGCAGGGCACGGGTCTGCAGCATCACATGGCCCAACAGCAGCTGGTGTAGTGGCCAGAAGGAGCTGTTAGGAGGGGCCTTGGTGGGGTTCATAAAGAACCAAGGTTCACTGAGCTGTCCCACAAAAGTCTACCTGTGGGGCCTAGAGATGATCAAGGCTCAGTCTGCACAAGAAGGCCCTCAGTCTCCTAAGGCCAACAGTGGCATCCTCCACTCCAGCAGCACCTTCAACCCAGAGAAGATGAGGTTACTAGCCAAGGTGGTGGGTGGGACATACAATACTATTCAGGGGTTTCTTTGATTTTTTTTTTTTTTGTAATTGCAGCATTATTCAACTCAATAAACAGCTTCTTTTTTCTTTTTTTCCAATACTGCAGATTGAACCCAGAGCTTCTGCATTGAGCTATATCCTCCTAGCTCTTGAATTCTTTTATTTTGAGACAGGATCTGACTAAGTTGTCCAGGCTGGGCAGAATTTGCTAACTTCCTGCCTCAGCATCCCAGAGTGCTAGGATTACAGGTATGTACAACCATACCTGGCTAACAGCTTGTCTTTCTGCTACAGAGGATTCAGATACCCATTTGAGGCACTAAAAATGAGTGACCTAGTGTTACAATAACTGATGGTTTCCATGTATAAAATACTGTACAGTCAGAAGCTTGCTCTGACTGCTACACGTTAGCTACTCTTTTGCAGTATCTTGTAGGCAAAGGTAAAAACCACTGATGTGAAACTGATGTGAGGCAATAGTCTCTGAGTTCCTTGCTGAAATGGGTTCAGTGCGGGCTCAGCTGCTCCTGACCATTTTCAACTCAGAATTTTTTCACTCAGCAACGTTTTTCAGGCTCTTGGCTCATGAAAGCAGGGAGGACCCTCTCCCGAGAAAACTGCCTAGGTCCCACATGTACACACAATGTGTCTAATAATCTTAGAGCAGAGGTGCAAACCTGTAGCATGTGTGCTGCAGCGGGCTGTTTGTATCATTCAAAGTTCTACAAGGTTTGCCATTCCTGTCTTAAGAGTACCCGGGGCCCCTGGCGCCCCTCACAAGGTACCCTGAATGTGCTCAGAACCTGAGGGCAGACACCCTTGCCCATATGGCCAGAGTGGTCATGTAACCCACCAGGAAAGGACTGGGGCCTATTTTCCCTACTGTGCCACCCATGACTTAGGCCAAGTCTGTGGCTCTGCACCGCTCATACAACTCTCCAGTGAGTAACTGAGGTCTTAAGTACCAGGGCACGGGAGACAGAGGAGCCTATTTATCCAGTGGGTGAACCCGGCACTGTAACAACACCAGATCACCTCTGCGGCCTGCTTTGCGAGTGGAGAGCTGAGCAGGTTTTCCTTGTCTATTCACAAGGTCAAAGCAGACTCCTGTACTTGAATAATGAGCTGAATCCAGGCCAGGAATGTGGCAACTTCTCTACTCAGTTCTCAGGAACAGATGCCAAGGGTGTAGTTCAGGAAAAAAAAAGTGGCAGTCATGCCCTGCTGCCCCTGGGGATCCAAGGGAACAGTCTGCTTTATCTGGCACCCCCCACTCTAGGCCTGCATTTACTACCTAATGGGGTTTGGTCCAACCCCAGACAAGGTGAGAACCTGGGGGAGGGCAGAGGCCAGGGTAACTGCTTACCGCTCATAGACCACTTTGGCCAGACAGTCCCTGCGGGTGTCACACTCTGCTTGGGGGCAGGGCTTCCGGAACACCTGCTGCTGCTTGCCTGCCCTGATGGTTCGAATCCGCACTGTCTCCAGCAGCATGTCCTCACGGAGTCCCAGCAGTGAGGCTGATGTCCTGACAGAGCCTGGGAGAGGTGAATGAATCCTTAGGCAAATCACCCTCCATCTGAGCCATCCTCACAGTGGTACCCAACTCGCCCACTGGACAGAGGAATCCTAGGTTCCAAAGGGTGAAGAGACTCGCCAAAGGTCTCTGTAAGTAGCAGAGGTGGAGCTTGAACTTGTGACTTCTATGTCCCAACCCACACTGCTACATGTGGGAAAAATCACTTTGTAAACCCTCTGACTCTCATTTTCTCATCTGTAAGACAGGTGGGGAGGAGTAATTATCCAGGGCAGGGCCCAGTAGCAGACTTCAATCAAGAGCAGCAGATGGAATATCTCACCCTCCAAACTCCCACCTAGTCCCACCAACGCTGGCTACCTTCCTGCCAGGGTGTGCCCTGCTCCCTGCCCCTCGCCTCACACTTGGCATTGTCCATCAGTTGGCAGGGTTGGGCTTCATCCTCTGAGTTAGCAAAGCGGATGTTACCCAGGTGCAGCAGCCCAGCAAGGACCTAAGGGAGCAGAGAGGATGGTCAGAAGAAGGAGAGGACCGGCTGAGTACAGTCATGACAAAATCAGAATCATCACTCCCATCTTATTGCCCAAGGCAGCCAGGCACAATTCTATGCAAGTTACTGCATCCCCTCACTTAATGAGTGCTACAGCGCATGACAGAGATGGCACTGAGGAAGGCTCAATCCAAAGCTTAAGGACTCATGCTTTCGAGACAGGTAGGCTAGAACCGAGGCAATCTGACTTCAGATGCCTCCCCAGGTGGCCAGTGAGGCCCTATGTCCACCTACCATTTGTCCCTCAGTCCCCTTCCTCAGGAACAGACTGTGGGGACACCAGTTCTGTAACGTGTGGGCCAGGGTTACTTCCATATCTGCTAGCCTGTCACGGTGGCTGTTATGGTGTGTGTCTGGATGTCCCCCCAAAGCCTCATGCAGTCATGGGGCGGGCTTCTAGAGTTTATGATTGATTCCTGGTCCAATGTTGGGATTATGGGTGTGAGTGCTACACTCGCCCTGCAGCAGATAATTTGCATACAATGTAACAGAGAGAAAGAGGCTGCTTGCCACCGCTCCTCCCTTTTGCTGTTGTTGCTTTTGTTGTTTTCCACCACCATGAACAGTTGCTGTGTGCCATGTGCTACTGTGCCTTGAAGCCAGCAGAGTATGGACTGAAATCTCCACAAACTGTGAGCTAAATAAACCTTTCCTTCCTTAATCCTGGATGTCAGGTATTTTGTCTCAGCAATGAGAGAAAAGAAACCAAGACAGAATTTGGTACCAGGAATGGTTGTTGCTATGACTATACCTGACCATGTGGTTCAACAGCCTTTAAAAATGGCTGTGGGGAGTGTTTGGAAAGGTTTGGCTATGTCGCCTGAAAGAGTACAGCTGGAATGCCTTCAGCTATTCTTTATGGGAGATTCTGGTCAAAGCTCAGAAGACCAGAAGGCCAATCGAAATCCTGGCAGTAAAGATCAGGAGGTTTTAAAGTTTTGGGAGATTTCTGCTGGGAAGAAGGACTGCACTGGTGGTTGGACTCTAGATGATGTATATTATGGCTCAGCAGAAAGTTTGTCTGCATTTTGCTCATGTCCAGAGACTTTGCCTGAGACTGAGATTAAGGGCACCAGACTGATTAATCTGGCAAAAGAAATTTCCAGGCAGTCAAATGTTGGGGCAGTGGCATGGCTACTATTGGGGGCTTTTAGCCAGACATGTTGAGAATCAAGAGCAAAGAGCCCAGCAGGATGATTTAAAATGTGAGCTTGGCCAGAAAGAAAGCTCCAGTAAAGCTGTGGATTGCAAACATAGAGCTAAGGAGATCTCCACTGCTGAGAAGGAACAAGAGAATAGAAAAGATGGCCTGAGGATATCACAAGAAGCAGCAAGTCTCCACCCTTTGCAGTCTCAAAATTGCAAAGGTGAAAGATTTTGCTTTGAGAGAAAAGCCTCAGACTGCCATGTTCCAGAAGGCTGTCAGCAGCCACACCAGGCTCCAGAATGGCAGCAGCATAGAGAATATGTTCCTCAGAATTAGATTCAGAGTGCCCAGGGATCCAGGCACTCGACCTCTATGGCCAAGAGAGGGGAAAGTTTGGCTACTGCTCCAGATGGCAGCAGACCTTGGCATCATCCACGTGGCAATGGTGTTAGGCACATACAGAATGCAAGAGTTCCAAGGTTAAGAAGGCTTCACCTAGATTTCAGAAGGCCTGGGAGGCCAGGCAGTGTGCCCCTGAGAGGGCAATGTGTGAAGCTGTGAGTGAGAAGCCAGAGGTTCAGTGGAGACCTCAGAAGTCTGGAAAAGCCAGGAACGTGGATTGTCTGAGGAAAGCTGCAAGGAGGGAGCAAAGCAGGCCTAAGAGAGAAGCCATGGAAGCTCTAACCACCAGAAGTGCCATAGGTATAGAGTTATGCAAGCCCTTTGGACCTCATTATGTGCCACAGATTGCTTTGGATGTTCCACATGGAACTACAGGACATGTTAGATCTGCTGGATTTTGGACTTGCTTTGGTCCCAATGCTCTACATCCCATTTTGTACTTTTTCGAATGGTAATGTTTGTTTTGTGCCATTGATTGTTGGAAGTGTTTAACTGTTTATTTGTACAGGGGTTCACAACTAAGAGTTTGCCTTACATCTCAGAGAAGACTTGGGACTTGGACTTTTCAGCAATGCTGAACTGTTAGGACTTTGGCAACTTTTACAGATGGACTAAAATGTCTTTTGCATAAAGGGATGAGTCTTTGGAGGGCCATGGGTGGAATGTTATGATTTGTGTCAGATGTCCCCTGCAAAGCCTCATGCAGTCATGGGGTGGGCTTCTAGAATTTATGATTGATTCATGGTCCAGTGTTGGAATTATGGATGTGAGTGCTACATCTGCCCTGGGGCGGATAGTTTGCATACAATATAAGGGTGAGAAAGAAGCTCCTTGCCACCGCTCCTGCTCCTCCATTTTGCTCTCGTTGCTTTTGCTATTTTCCACCACCATGAATGGTTGCCATGTGCCATGTGCTACTCTGCCTTAGAGCCAGTCAAATATGGACTGAAACCTCCACAAACTGTGAGCTAAATAAACCTTCCCTTCCTTAATTCTGGATGTCAGGTATTTTGTCTCACAATGAGAGAAAAGTAATCAAGACAGTGGTACATGCCTGTAATTCTGGCACTTAGGAGGCTAAGGCAGGAGCATTGCTATGAGTTCAAGGCCAGCCTGGGCTACACAGTGAATTCAAGGACACCCTGAACTTTATAACGAGATCCTGTCTCAAAAAAATTCTTCTGTGTCTGGTGAGGACTCTGGCTCCTTGTGCTCTTTCTCAGCTCGGTGGCATAGGACAGTATAGCCTGGGGGAAGGAAATGTGATCTTGGTCTCTGTACCATGGGTATCACCCTCTGGCCTCTGCATGCAACAGTCCACATGGACAACCCCCAGGAGCTATAGAAAGGAGAATTCCCTCCTGTCCCAGTAACTATGAAGCCCCCTGGACTGATCCGAGGAGAGCAGGACCCATCTGGTCATTCTTATCTGGGCCCAGGCAGGGCCCCTTCACATCTGCCTGGCCTTTTGGCCAACTCTTACCCCAGGACAGGACTGCTGTGCTCAATGGGCAGAGTGGCTGTGGCAGCATTTCTGCCTGAACAACTAGTGTTGTTCACTCACCTTGGGCTTGTCTCCATGTGCTGTCCTGGCCAAGGTATCACCTGGGGTATCCATACTAGGCGCAATACCTTTCCTGCTTGAATAGCTTACAGCTACAGGGAGTCCATTCCACTGCATGGCCCATCTCCCTGCAGTGGCTTCCCTGTCTCTGCTGCCTGCCTGTTGATGTTGCTCTAGGGGTTGAGCACTGACGGGAGAGGGGCAGTCAGCCCTACTGGCAAAGGCAGCAGAGAGAGGGAGGCCATTAGTGCGGATAAGAGGGGCCCAGCTCACCTGGGTCAGTGCCGTGTCTATGATGGAGAGGCGGGGACTGCTGGTGGAGGGAGGGCACAAAGGGAGGGAACTTGGAATTACTATGTCTGGAACAATGCACTCTGTCACTTTCCATTAACCTTGGAAAGATCACTTCTATTGTTTACTCAGGCATAAAACAGAAATGACCTCCACTCACAAGGAACTATTGAAAAAACCAAGTGAGCTAAAAGGTATGAACCTAATCTTTAAATTTTACAGTGCTAGGCAAATATGGCAGGATTATTTCTGTTCTCACTGCTGCAGTAATAACTGACCAAGCCTCCTGCTCTCTGGCCCCATGGGTCACTGCACCTTGTTTTCTGTACTGTCACACCATCCTCTAAGACCCTGTCTAGCCCCACACTCCATTTCTGCGCACAGAGGCACAAAGCAAACCAAGGAAGGGGCCAATGAAGGGGGCTCCCATTCACTGCCCAATCTAAGTGGTGTGGCTTTTCTTCTGACCTTAAAGATGTTGTTCTGGGTGGTGGAGTCGATGCCTAAATGCAGCATGGCCTCTCGGGTCACCTCGAAGCAATCTTCTGAAAAAGACCCATGTCACAGTCCAGTGGTTAGCAGGGCTGGTGGGGCGTGAGAGAGGTAGGCCCTGGGCAGAGTGGGTGCATCGTGCTACAGCCCGGGGTGCTGGGAGAGGTCCCCCTACCTTCCAAAGTCCTCTCGGGGTTTGGCAACCAGGAGAAGGCAGCTCCCTTGGGAAGGTGCCACTGGAGCCTCTCGTCCTCACTGGCTCCTTTGCAGATCTGGGGGGAGGTGGGCAGGTGTCTGAGCAGGAGGTGCAAGGGAAGCCCTGGCCTCCACCTGCCAGGGTTGGCATCAGACGAGGGAGAAATGGTAGCATATCATGACATTGAGAGGTCCCTATAGAGAGCCTGAGGTGGGCATGGAGGCACCTGGGTCCCTCCTGGCACAGACCTGGTAGAAGATGTGGAAGTTCCTTTCACTGGAGGCCTGGCAGGCCACGCGGGTTTTCTCTAGGAGGTAGGTCTGAACCGCAGCTCCTGTCATCTGCTGGGCCCTGGCACACACAGGCAGGAGTCCATGAGCTGCCTGTTCTTTCTGTAGCCATTTATTCAGCACCGACTTTGTGCCAGACTGCTGCCCAGCAAGTCCCCGCCAAGCTCATAATGTCCTTCGCTGCACTGGGACATTCCCTGAATCTAGCTCAGCTCTTTACATATCATTTGTATCTCATTTCACGGCAGGAGCAGAAGCCCAGCTTTACGATCAGGGTTATGGCCCCAAGAAGCGGCCATTTAACTAGAAGCTGCTGAGCAAGGGTAGAAGCCAGGAGGCCATATATTGGTTGTGACAAGAACACTGCCCGGGCTCTCTAAGATCAGAGTAGCTATGGTTCTCTAGGTTTAAAGACAGCCCTCAGAGTTCACTGATCCTAAAGAATCCCATACACATACATGCCAGGTGCAGAGTTTTGCCCACAGGGGGGTGTGTGGCTCGCAACTGCCCCAGCCGCTTTAGAACCCTGCCCCTGCCCCCATCCTCCCACAGGTCACGGGGGCAGCAGCTATTACCTGTTCAGCTGCAGCTGGATGAACTTCCCAAAGCGACTGCTGTTGTTATTCCTCAGCGTACACGCATTCCCTACAGATCACACCTGTGTTTATACCGCTCCCCCAGGTTTAGAGTCCTCACTGGCCAACACGGCTGCAGGTTTGCTGGGGGCCACACGCCTATCCTCTCAAGTCACCCGAAGGTCCCTTTGATGGGTTCCATGTTATGAGAGACAGGACTAGGGAATGGACACTCAGGCTCTTGCAAGTGGGACTCAGGAAAGTTAAGACAAACTTCCTGGAAGGAACTGGAATAAGCAAGCCTCAGGAGTCTGGGGCTTTCTTCTTTGAAGTGGGAGGTCAAAGCAAACAAGTTATCTTTATTGCCTTTAGACAGAAAGATTTAACATCCGGGCTCTAGTCCCAGTATGGACACTAAGAGCTGTACATCCTGGGCAAATCTTTTTTTTGAACCATTAGGAAACTGGATGGAAAAGGTTTGGACTAGATGAGCCTCCAGGTCCTCTCCAGCACCACTGCTCCATGTGGCTAGGTTGGAGGGAAGGCAGTGACTAAATGATATCACCTCTTTTAGAAGAAAGCTGAGGGGACCTGGGAGGAAGTCTGGGATCCAAGGCAGCAGAGGGTACTCTCATTCTCAACCCCAGAGAGGATGTCAAAGCCCTGCCTCCTCCCTGCCTGGAAGGTGGCAAATCCCAGAAGAGAGGGACTGGATGCTGAGCTCACCAAAAGCTTCCATGACAGGGTTGGAGTTCAGGATGCGCTGCTCAATCCTCTCCGCAATCTTGGGGCTCTCCCAGGAAGTCGGTGCAGCGGCCACCACAGCGTAGAACTTCATGAGGCAACGGGACGTCCATGTCTGAGGCAAAAACAGCCTGGTGGGAGGGTGTCCACCTTCCCTCCCCCTCCCGAGCCTGCCTGAGGCAGCGGTGCCCCAGAGCCCGCTTCTCTACCATGCGCCTTTCTGACCAGATGGACAAAGGCGGAATTCAGCTGTGGCCTTGGGCAAGGCACTTCCCCTTGTCTATGAAGCGGGGTGAGCATCTCTGCATTTCCCCGCTCCAGAGGACGCTCTGAGAAACAAGGGCGGCTTGGGGAAAGGATAAGCTCCCTGGCCTCCTGCAGGTGAGTCACAGTCCGAGGCCTCCCGGCCAATATTGATTACTCCACGGCAAGTCCTGAGCTGGGAAGGCTTCCTATGTACTTTTTTACAAACCCCACAGATGCAGGCATAATTATGTATTATTTTTAAACGATGAAACTGAAGAATAGAAAAAAATTTAATTGAAAAAAACTTTTGAGATAGGGTCTCACTACATAATTCAGGTTGTCCTTGAACTGCAGGGGACTCCTCCTGCTTCAGCCTCCCAACTGCTGGGTTAATTTAAGACCACAAAATCTAGTCCGATGTGACAGCACAGAAGTGTGATTTAGGAAGCTTAGGCAGGAGGATTGGAAGTTTGAGCCTAGTCTAAGTAATTTAGGAAGCCTGTCTCAGGATAAATAAAGTAAAGAAAGGAGAAAGGAAGGAAGGGAAAGGAAAGGAAGGGAAGGCAGGAAGGCAAGCAGCCAGCCAGCCAGCTAGCCAGGGTGGGGCTATAGCTCAGTGTGAAGGCCCTGGGTTCAATCTCCAGTATGCAGGAAAGAAAAGAGAGAAAAAAAAATTACAGAATCAGGCATTAAACACCTGATTAAAATCTTCTGTCTTTATGGACAGGTAGATAGGATTATCAACCAGAGTTCCTCCTTTAGGTAGCTTTATAAACTTTTTAGATCCTCAATGCCCATAACTTTTCTTAGGAGCTTGCCATTATCTTCTTTTATTTTTTTAAGATTATTATTTTTTTTTTTTTGGTACTGGGAATCAAACTCATGACCTTAAGCTTGCCAGGCAAGCGCTTATGCCTCTGAGCGACATCCCTGTCCCTAAGAATTTTAAATGAACCTTTTAATTCACTTCTGGGGCTAAGAGGCAGGGGTGGGAAGGATTTGAGGCAATAGTTAGTGAGGTTCCTGATCACTAGCTGCAGCCCCCTGGCTTGGAGTCAGCAGCCTCAAAGTATCGGTCCAGCAGCGCCTCCAGCTGCCCCTGGTCGTAGTTCCACACCTGGAACCGGGAGCTATCTGCAGCTCCCCGGATCATAGCAGAAAGCACTCGGCCAGACTACGGGCGAAAGAGGCACAGCACAGGCTTGTTGAGGGCCACGGCCTGGCCCAGCTCATGGCCAATCCCCAGGGAAGGCTGTGTCACCTTGGCCACCACCATGTCTGCCTGCTGCAGCCAGGCCAGGTCCCGCTCATGGATGAGCCTGTCAGCCCCAGACAGCTCTTTCTCGGTCTGGGCCAGCCGTGTCGCGGCCACATGCTTGGTGAGCACCATCCAGAAGTACCACAGCCAAGACAGGATGTGTGCATACAGCGCTTGGTACTGGCGCCTGGTACTCCGCGGATGCTGCTGCAGAAATGCAGAGCCCGGCCCTGTGCGCCACACTATCCCAATTACCCGCACGGCCCAGCTGCGGCCATGGCTGCCCGTACCGCTGCCATTATCTTAAGATTGTTCCAATTCAGCAGAGATAGACACTATAGTTAAAAAAACAACTACAACAAAAAACTATAGTTAAATGGAAATGATAAAAATATAAATAATACAGACCATCAGCAGATTAGACATGCAGAAGAATGCAATGGTGAAGCTGGGCATGGTAGCACACCCCTGCAACCCCAAGAACAATGAAAAGTATGTCCAAGAACTCTGGTACAACATCAAATTACCTACCATATTTGTATTTTGCTGTCATAGGAGAAGAGAAAGATTATAGATCAGAAATAACATTTTATATAATTAAGAAAAGACAGCAAGCACAGAGCTAAGAAGCTTAGAAAGTAACAAGTAGGATAAATACAAAGAAAGCATATTTAGGTACATTATAGACAAAATGCTGAAAACCAAACTTAAGGGAGCCAGGGAAAAGAATGACTACAGACTTCAAAAACTGCAAGCCCAAAGATAATAGATATTTTCTTTGAGCATTTTAGAGATGTCACTATCAACCTAGACTTCTGTTACCAGCAAAAATATTTCTCAGAGCTGGGCAAGTAGCTCATTGGTAGAGTGCTTGCCTAACATGCACAAGGCTCTAGGTTTGATCCTTAGCATGTGCACTATACCCATACATATATAATTTTTTTTTAATCAATGAAAGCCTGGGGGTGTAGCTCAGTATGTGGAATGTGTGCTTAGCATGCACAAAGCCCTGAGTTCAATCCCTAGTATATAAAAATAGTGAACAAATAAAAGCTGAGATAGTTCATTTCAAGTTGAGATAGTTTCATTTCTCCTGCACTACAAGAAATACTGAAGAAAGTTCTTTAAGCCAAAGGAACATGAAACAGATGAATATTTGTATCTATACAGAGAAATACAGCATTGGAGATGTGAAACCTTATTTTTGCCTCTTTAAAGAAAAATTTGGGGCTAGGGATTTAGCTCAGCAGTGCAGTGCCTGCCTGTTAAGTGCAAGGTTGTGAGTTCAATTCCCTGTATCAGAAAAAAAAAAAAAAGGGACTAGCTAAAGAAAAACTCATTCTATCGCAAAAATATCATTGTATTATAGAGACGAAAAGGAATCATAAAAGTACTAAATTCAACCAATGACAGAAAAAAATAACAAAGATCATATGGAACAAATTGAAAAGATGACAAAACAGTAAATTAAATTATTTTTTTTCTTATTCCTCCTCCTCCTCTTCCTCCCACTCTGCTTGTCTTTTTTCTGTTCCTCCTTTTCTTTTTCTTGTTTTTTTTGATAGTCCTGGGGATTGAAACTAGGGCCTTACAAGGATATTTTTTATTTTGAGACAGAGTCAGTTACTAGGTTGGCCTCAAACTTGTGATCCTCCTACCTCAGCCTCCTGAGTAGCTGGGATTGCAAGCATGCATCACCACATCCAGATAATGTCTGATTTTTATATCTGAACAGACACTCCAGGATCATTAACTATTTAATAAACTTCTTCTATATAAATGAAAATATCACAATGAAAGGAAGAAAAAAAATTGGGAACAGCCAATTCAAGGAGTAGAAAGCAGGTAAAAAGCATGATATATACCCCAAAATAAAAGATGTTAAATTTATGAAATAAAAACAGGATGATGGGGGTAAAATAATATCCAGAGAACATGAAAGAGGTCTTAATATTTTAAGCAGAAATTTAAAATGAAAAAGAACTGGAATGTTAAGGAGAGAGTACCTTCTGAGATAAAATAAATGAGAAAAATAAGACAAAAAGAGGCAAGCAAATGTACTACTAACAGGTGTTTTGGAAAGAGAAAAGAGACGGGAGGGGATTAACAGGTTTCAAACATAAGTATTTCCTTTAGCTAAAGAACATGAGGACCAAAGTAAAAAAGACTCACTCAAACTGGATGTGGTAGTACATTCCCATAATCCCAGCACTCTGGGAGGCTGAGGCAGGAAGATAGCAAATTCAGGCCAACCCTGCACAACTTAGAGAAACTCTCTTTCAAATAAAATGGAGTGGGATGTAGTTCAGAGTGAAGGTTGTAGGTTTTACCTCCAATGCTAGGGAGGATAAAAAGACCCACACTCACACTAAGTATTCAGCATAATAAATGCAGAAGGATCATACCAAACTATAGCACTGTGAATACTTTATTTATTTTTTTTTTTCAAGTAGGATCTCTCCATGTAGTTCAGGCTAGCCTTGAATTCACTGTGTAGTCCAAGTGGCCTCGAACGCCTCTCGATCCTCCTGCCTCACCTTCCCGAGTGCTCTGATTATAGGCATGCACTACCACACCCAGCAGAATTTTTGTACTTATGGGGAAAAAAAAGACTCTAAAAGATTCTAGAAAGAAAAAACAAATCACTATTATGGACTAGGACTCTCAATAACAACACTCAAAGATACACATATGGAAAGAACTTCTATATTTGGAAAGAAAATAACTTTTAATCTGGAATTATAAGGACCCTGTCAAAACATCAAATTGGAAACCTACAGGGAGAGTGAGGAGAAAGACTTCAAGGTAGAAGAAAGAGGTGGCAGCAGCACTTTCTCCCTGAGCCCTGACTCACTGTGTGGCAGGAGCGGCTCAAGGCTGCAGATACCATGGTGACTACTGGTGACCCAGAGGCCTCCACAAAGAAATGCACCAGTGGGAACGGAGCAGTGGATGCAGAGGACTGCACTGGCTAGTGAGTACTTCGGGTTCAGATGTCCCTCAAAAGAGGGCGATTGGCTGGCAGCCATCTTGAAGAGGGGCCAGCTGAGTTTGGAACTCCAAGCAGCTGCTGGGTCCATCTAGAGGCTTCCAATGTCAGGGTGAGGCAGAAACAAGTTCAAGTCAGGAGGTCAAGGAGCCAAGTTCAAACTGATACAGAGCTGAGTTCAAGCCAGCAGGAGGCACACAGAGTATTGTATGCTGAACAGACTGGGTTCCAGCCTCACAGCCAGAAACCAGCCTGAACTTCAGTGGAATACACATGCAGGCTTGCTGAGATTATCCACTACTCCATCATAAATGTATGACTGGCTTGCTGGGACCTAACCAACACAGATTTGGCTCTGTCCATTTTGTCTACCAGTGACTGCAGAGTCATGCCTTGAAGTGAACTTTTTTTGCTTATTTTCTTTTCCTGTTTCTGTTTTGTTTCTTTTTTATTTTGTTTTGTTTTGTTTTGGTACTGGGAATCAAACTCAGAACCTTGTGCTTGCCAGGCAGGTGCTTGTGCCACTGAGCTATATTCCCAGCCCTTGATTTGTTTCTTGTTTTTATATGAGTGTGAACATTGTTTCTAGTTTTTGTTATTGTTGTTCTATTCTTGTTTTTAT